TTTGAATCAGAGCCAGACCAGGCATTTACAGATTTTGTTGGGGTAAAATTACTCCATAGGAAAGAGCAGCAGTTCAGCAGTAGGATGAGATTTTAACTACAAAGGCAACATTTTCAGAAGACTTAGGCTTCTGAAAATATGTTTAAAACATAGTTAATGCTCTCACAAGAGGGAATTTGGAGACTTCAATGGAAAAATGGAGTTATTCCAGACTGTGGTTTATTTAGGATGATTCTTTCTAACAGTATTAGTTTTCCACACTGCACAAAAATTTCTAAAATGTAAATTAACTTACATTCATCAGTTTTTCTTTCACCAGATTTGGCTGTGTATATGTTTTGCCGCCTGTTTCTCTAATAAAATGAGGTTTTGACCTTGAAAAAAATGGAAAATAAAAATGGCTCTCTCCTTCTCAGAATGTGACCAGACCACTTAAACTGGCCATTAATTCATAAACCCATGTGAAATTTATTTATTCAGCCAACAAATATTTATTGCACTTCAAACACTATTCTAGGCACTGGAGATACAGTAATAAAAGGAAACAGGTAGAGTGATTTGCCTTATGGAGCTTACAGTCTAGTTTGGGGAAACAAGAAACAAATGAGTACATATCTAGTGTAAGAGGTGGTAAAACACCTTGGGAAAAAAAATAAGCAAGGAAAGCAGACAGAGTCTGTGTGGGGTGGTGGGATTGGGAATTAACTAAGGTAGAGGATGACATCTGAGCCAGGAATGAAGGAGGTGGGGGATCAAGCCAAGTAGATATCTCAAGAAGAACCTTCCAGACAAAGGAAGTAATATGTGTAAAAGCCCCGAGATGGGAACAAACCTGTCAGAAATCATGCGCAGACATACTTAAGAGACAGAGATTTTCTGAGCCTCAAATGACCTCACAGAGACCACAGACTCATTCACTGCAGTCTTAAAAGAATCTATGCCACTGTCTTTGGCCTGGGTTAATGGTAGGTCTATGGCAGTGATGATCCTGGTTCTAGATCCATCATTGGCACCATCTCCAACCTCCAACATGTAGGCGAATTTAACACTGTGGGATCAGTCCCCAAGTCTGCTAAAGTTCCCATCTAGCAGGGCAAAACTGGGAAGAAAAATCAGACATCCATTTGGCCACTGATATGCCCATTAAAATTGCCATGCAGACTGGAGCCTCAGTTAATCCTTGGGATTGACAGACTCAGGACTGAAGTTCATGCTCTCTCCTGGAGCATTCCCACCACACAGAAAGCACAGGTGAGGCCAGCCTGAAATTTCAGAGAGGTAAACCATTGGGCTGATGAGAACTGTGACAGAAGTTAAGAGAACTAATCAGAAGTGTACCTTGTTTGAAATGAAACTAATATTAGAAAGTCTGGCCTTAAAAAGGCTAAAACAGAGATATAAAAGGATTTACCCACATCTCTTTCAAGTAGCAAGTTTTCTCCAGATTCATTGCCAAAGTGAAGCATCTCTGCCTTGAAGACAATATCAAAGAACAAATTTAAAAGCAGGCACACGACAGTCTGGCAATTCTATCACTCAACACATAGAATATAATATATATGTGATCTCTCTCTTTTTTATTCTTTTTTTAGATATACATGACAGTAGAGTATATTTTGACATATCATACATACATGGAGTATAACTTCCCATTCTTGTGGTTGTACATAATGTGGAGTTACACTGGTTGTATATTCATATATGAACATAGGAAAGTTATGTCCGATTCATTCTACTGTCTTTTCTATCCCCACCCTCCCTCCTTTCCCTTCATTACGTGTTCTCTTTAAATTGGCATGCTCAACCCCAAATAAGAGAGTTCACAATAAAAAATTAAAGGAGCATCATTAATTATAAGACGCTTACAATAATAGCAGCAACTGATATTGTTATTCTTCATAATTACCAAAACTGCCAAAGCATTACTCCAACCACTGTTTTTAAACCATTCTTCACTCATACTAATAGTGAAAATGGACTTCCCTGTGTAACATTTCTGCTTTGGTTCTGTCCAGAGTGAGTAAGAAAAATCTCAAGTGTGATTCATCTTTAGTAAGCCTACTTTTCCAGTTAGAAAACAAAACCGTTGACTACCAAAGATCAAATCTTTCCATTTAAAAAAAAATTCATTTATTTATGTGCCATTACCCTTTCTGAGAGTTCTCCAGCTCTTCAAATACAATATGATAACTTGGATTAAAGAACACTGTGTGCCAGGAAGCTGGCACAAATGCAAGTATAATTTCAATAGTGCTTCATTACCCAACTACTGCTGAGTTTGACCTTCTTTGGATTTAAAAATCAACCAGAATATAATATTTTTCATCTAGATTCATAACATTCTTAATCCTCCCACCTCTACCCATTAAAAAAGCTTTTTAAAGACCTCTTTATGTAGAGAAAAGTAGGGGAGAAATGCCCAATATTTCATGACAATATAAAATATTCCAAGACACAAGAAAATGATGGAAGTTAACCAATTTTATAGTAACTCATAAATTTGGATTTATGTTTCCTCCCTTCTTAGGTCATTGTCCACTTTAATTTTTATAATTCATCTATAAAACAATAAATTATAACATTTATAAACTTATTGGCAAAAATAACAAGAACTAACATGGTTTATCAGGCATGATAACAAATACCAAGAACAGTTAAAACAAAGTCAAATTTGGCCAAGCCTCATGGAAATTATAATATGGGAACAGAAATTTGTGATTATTGTGTCCACTGAATAGTTGAAGAACTACAGACTTAGATGAGCAATGGCTTGCCTAAGAATGTCTAACTAGTAATAGGATTTGAACCAGGTCTTTCTGCCTCTAAAACCTAGGTTCCTCTAACAACCAACTAAACCAAAGAGCTGGAGAAATTGTAAAGGTGACAGTAGAGACATTCTTCAGGGTCTCAGACATATTTCAGTTGACTCAAATGAAGGCAGAAAAATATCCATGGTCATTCCAGGGTTAAGCCTTGCAAAGCCTCTTGAGAACTTTGGTGTTCTCTCAAAAGTCATACTTCAAAATAGTCTTCCAAGTCAAGGGTACCTCAAATATACCTCCAGGGTACACAGGTAGCTGAGCCCACAGAGTTTTGCAGCTCTGAGCCCTAATGCACACAAAGTCTCTGGAGAGGAGCTCCCACCAGTGCTCTTTATGTCTGATGCATTCAGGAAAAATTCTACCCAATGTCAGCCCCCTTAGCACAAGGCAAGAACTGCTTCATTCCCTTTTATTTTGCCTTCTTCAAAAGAAGCTCCTTGGAACTCAGTCCTCATTCATACATACTGAATGCTCAATTCCTTTTTCACAGTATAATAACTTCTTCTGTGAATTCTCTATCACTATTCTATTTCAGATATCCCTGCAGATAATAAAGTGACCCAATGTGCAAAGCTGAAACATACAGGGGTTGACTGGAATGAGCCACTAAACAAATAATCCTTCATAGTATTCACATACTTTTGAAATCAAGTGACCTTATTTCCCGACACATTCTACTGGATGGGAAAATCAGTGATGCTATTTTATTCTTTTGAAATCAGGCTGTGGAGGCTAACACTGAATTCCATTAGAAGGAATGAGAAAGCAAGTCCTGGAGCTGTTTTAAGGGAATTTTGTTGGTCAAAATGATTAAAAATGCTCAAACTTTGTCAAAGACAATGTCTACATCTTTCTAAATTAAGAAGAAAACAAGTATTAAATAGAAACTACGTGGCTCATTTCATGAGTGGGAGACACTAACCTATATCCACCCTAAACACCCATTTTATTTTATTTACATATATATATATATACACATACATATATTTATTCCTTTTAGATATACATGAAAGTAGAGTATATTTTGACATATCATACATACATGGAGTATAACTTATTCCAATTAGGATCCCATTCTTGCAGTTGTACATGATGTGGAGTTTCACTGGTCATATATTCATATACCAACATAGAAAATTTATGTCCAGTTCATTCTGCCATCTTTCCTACTCCCATCCCTTCTCCCTCTTTATTCTCTTTTGTCTAATCCAATGAACTTCTCTTCCTCTGTTCCCATCCCTTATTATGTGTTAGCATCCATATATCAGAGAGAACACTCCACCTTTGGTTTTTTGGGATTGGCTTATTTTACCTAGCATGATATTCTCCAGTTCCATTTATTTATCAGCAAATGCTATAATTTCATTATTCTTTATGGCTGAGCTATTTTTTCATGTGTATGTATATATACATACACACACATACCACATTTTCTTTATTCATTCATCATCTGTTGTAGGGTACCTAGTCTGGTTCCATAGCTTGGCTATTGTGAATTGAACTGCTATAAACATTGATGTGGCTGCATCACTGTAGTATGTTGATTTTGAGTCCTTTAGGTATAAACCGAGGAGTGGGATAACTGAGTCAAATGGTGGTTCCATTCCAAGTTTTATGAGGAATTTCCATACTGCTTTCCAGAGTGGTTGCACCAATTTGCAGTCCCATCAACAATGTATGAGTGAACCTTTTTCCCCACATTCTCGCTAACATTTATCATTACTTGTATTTTGGATAATTGCTATTATAACTGGAGTGAAATGGAATCTCAGTGTAGTTTTAATTTGCATTTCTCTAGTTGCTAGAGATGTTGAACATTTTTCCATATATTTGTTTACTGTTCATATTTCTTCTTCAATGAAGTACCTATTCAGTTCCCAATTATTGATTGGGTTATTTGGGGCGGGGGTTGGTGTTAAGTTTTTTGATTCTTTGTATATCCTGGAGATTAATGCTCTATCTGAGGTGCAGGTGGCAAAGATTTTCCGAAGGCTCTCTCTTTACATTCTTGATTATTTCCTTTGCTGTGAAGAAGCTTTTTAGTTTGATACCATCCCATTTATTGATTCTTGATTTTACTTCTTGCACTTTAGGAGTCTTGTTGAGGAAGTTGGTTCCTAAGCCTACATGATGGAGATTTGGACCTACTTTTTCTTCTATTAGATGCAAGTTCTCTGGTCTAATACCTAAGTCTTTGATCTACTTTGAGTTGAGTTCTGTGCAGGGCTAAACACCCTTTAAAAGGGAATGTTTTCTAGCCTTTCTTCTCCACTTAAAATAGCCCTGGATATCACACTTTGCTTGACTGAGATGTGCAGGGGATTGAGAAGAGAAGCGGGCTCAGCCCAGCAGCCTGGAAGCAGATTCCAAAAGCTAACAGAATCCACTCACTTTTCATTTTCTACTCTAACTCTTCAACCAAGTCAATAAATACATGATAAGTTTGAATGTGGGTCATGGCCCTGCAAGACTTAGCCTGCCAAAGGATATTTTTTTAACTGAGTCTCAAAATGATCTTGATATTTCATCCACAATCTCAATAAAAATTGGTATTGGTGGCCCAACAGGGGCTTGAGACAGCCGGCTGATGATAAATCAGTCCTTTCCTATCCAGAGCATTGATGTTGTGTGAGTGGAGGGGTGCCAGCCGGCTGGCTTCTGGATAGGCGTCCTTGTCAGGGGCGGTAGGCTGCAAAGTCTCGTGCTGGAGCGTAGGGCTGGTAGTGTTTGCGGGTGGGCCCTGGCCTCCGGGGAGTCATGTTCATATAGTCACTCTGAAGAAGCCTGGTTCTTTGACGCTTCGTCTGCAGGAAAAAGAAGTGTTAATGTGGAAGGACATGGGGGAGATATTAGGAGAGGCGTTCTAAGATTTTGCAGACACCTATTGAGAATATTAACATTCAGACCTTGCTAAACACAAGCATTTCTTGAGCACCTTGGACTTAGACTAATCAAATCACTATTGGCTGTTCTAAATTAACTTGAAAAATGTCAATCAAAGAAAATATTTTAGAGAAATGTATCATATAGATATCACTCTTAAAGCTGTCATTTGACCTGAAGTGCAACAGTATATCTAAATAACCTATTTACTATTGATATTAATTAATCCATCTCTGAATGGATTAAGAATTACCATTGTAGATAGGAAAGGTAGCAGAATACAACAATTACTAATTGGGCATTATGTAAAATTGTGGATGTGTAACCGACGTGATTCTGCAATCTGCATTTGGG